AAGAGGACTCACCCTTGTAGCACAACTTTCCCGCACCTTCTGGTCCAAGAAGAGGAGCTCCTAACCTCTGAAAAATAGCCTCAAGTTTCTGGAATGGAGTGTGGAGGTTGTAGGCTTGGAGGTGGTGTGTAAAGGTCAAGAACAATGGGTGTTTGGAGCTTGAAAATGGAGAGCAATGGAGGAAGGAAGGGTGTATGCTCCAACTGGTTTTCTCAACCCTTAGAAATGGAGGAGGGGTGCTGGTTATATAGAGGGAGAGGTGTGAAGAAAAAGGAGGGGAAAATGAATTCAAATTTCCCCCCCAAAAGGGCAGACCCTCGGGCAGCGGTCTGGTGCAAAACAGCTGGCACAGCTGGCATCCACTCAATCTGTAGAATACTTCGGAAGGTCGTCGGCTAGCAAAATTGTTCGGTCAGCTACTTTAACTAGTTGGTCGGCCATCTATTTGGTCGGTCGGCAGAATGTTTGGTCGGCCGGCGAGAAAAATCTGCTCTGTAGGTCCAACTTCAAACAGGCATAACTCCTTCATATGAACTCCTTTTCAGGTCATTCTTGTGTCCAAATTTAATCCCCGAAAGTAAGCTTTCCAATGAAACCAGCCTTGCATCAAAATTCCAACTATGAAAAAAGTTATGCTTATTTTGGTGAAGGTTTCTTAGTTTCGGTCCAATTGGGATGATGCCCAACTTCAACAAATCATATCTCCGCCATCCGGACTCGGATTTAAGAGATTCTTGAATAAAAAATGAAGCCCCAAAAGTATTCTTTCCAACGGTGGTGGCCTCATAGCTTAAATTCATTTGTATAGATAGATAAGCTTGATTTAGCGAGAATTGCTCGTCTCTCTCTTAGCGATTCTTGCCTATCTTCTTCTCCAACTTGGTTTCTTCTCTCTTCCCCTTCTTTTGTTCAACTTCAAACCCCTAAGAAAGGTGTTTTCAAAGATTTTTCAAAGATTTCATCTCTCTTTTATTCATTTCCACTTTGTCCTTACTCGGTTTATCGAAATGCGCATCATTTGACAAAATGTGAGCCTCGGAACATTGTAGAAACTTTATTTCAAAAATATTTTAAAAGAGAGGGTTCTAAGGTCTAAAAACCCTCCAAAATAACTTTGGTCCAAAATGGGGTGTGAAGTTGAGATTTGTCTCTCTCCTTGCTGAAGAAACTGTACCTTTGCCCTGCACACCTTTCTCCACCAAGTAAACCATCAGTAATGCCCAAGTCTTAAGGGCAGTCCAAAATGGAGTGTCTACAGGCACGTGTATGACAATTTCAGGCAATTTGGATGAGAAACTAACAGTTTCACTTTAGTCCAAAACCATATAGGAGATATTTCAGTATTTCGGAACAATAAGGTAGTAAAACGCTACAGGACCAAACCAGATGGGGGTAAATTGGATTTTGTCTTCATTTTTATTACCACTATATATGCACTGGAATGTATCAATATTGAGAAATCAAAAAATCTACATGTATCAATTGGTATATTGGAATGTATCAAATTGAGAAACAAAAAGATCAACATGTATCGACCAATATTAAACATCATTCAATGTTTAAAATCATAGGAAATACAACGAAGTTAGAAAGACCTGATGACCATTGCAGACTGGAGAGGTTGTTGTCTGTCTGCTGGTTGCTGCTCAGATATGTCACTACATTGTTGGCACCTGAAGAGGTGAGATAATATATTCACTACTTTTTTTAATGATATTTTTGTAACAATAATATTATATAGCCCAAAAAATTACTTCAAATGCAAGTTTTCTATTTTGTTTGACATTTCAAAAACTGTTTTTAGACGAATTTTCTGCTCTTTGTTGAACTTTTTTCATATTTTAGTTTTTTGTTTGTTTGTTTGTTTTTTTTTTTTTTTTTTTTTTTTTTTTTTTTTTTTTTTTGGTTTTGTTTGTTTTGTTTTGTTTTGTTTTTTGATGTTTTATATGCATCTAATCTAGAAAAAAAAGGCATGGAATAAAATACGAAAAAAAGTTGGCTAAAAATGAATAGATGAACCATCCCACTTTTATGTGTACTATTTGGGCATTGTTTTTATTTTTGTAACAATAATATTGCATAGCCCAAAAAATACCTAAACAACAAAACTTTTAGATGTGTAGACTAGATTCATTTTGGATGTGCACCATCCCACTTTTCTAGTCTACATGCATATAATTTTTAGGCCCAATTATAATAATGGTCCCTCTAATTTTTCAAATTAAATCAACTTAGTCCAATTGATAATATTTGTTAAGAAATTGAATAGACATCAAAAGCAAAATAGTCCATTCAAAAGGAAATGGACAATTTCAAATTGGAAGCCAACCCCCCAACCATTCTGATGAGAATGAATTGACTAGTTTACTCTTTCATTTCAGTCTAATTTCTAAATGTTGTTATGATTTGACTAAATTTACAAAATGTGACAAAGTCAAAGTAAAATCAATACAATTAGAGTTACAATGACCAAAATTTATATACCAAGGGCAATGACTGTATTTTGCCGTAATTTTTATTACTATCAGTGAACTAAAATGTATCAATATCGAGAAATTTAAAAAGTTGATATTTATCAATTGATCAATATCAAGAACTTAAAAACTAATATGTATAAGTTGATATAAATTATAATACATATCGATCGATATTTAAAATAATAAAAGTAAACACAATGAATCAAAGAGACCTGAAGCTTGTTGTTGACTGTAGCAAATGCCCTGTGTCTGTGAGTTGTTGCTCCTTATTGCCTCTGAGTGAGAAAATATTTCACTATCTCTTCTTATGATATTTTTGTAACAATAATATTACATAGCACAAAAAAATCACTTAAAAAATGTCAAAAAATAATTTTTTTTGAAATGAGCCTAAATTTATTTGGATGTGATTTCATTACACTAAGTTTGATTCTACACCACACACTTTATTTTTTAATAATTTTTTACATTTGTTTTTAGACTCCATAACTTTTTCCTTTTTGTAACTACTAGTAGTAGACACAAACGAGTCCACATTTTCACCAAATAATAAATAATATTAGGATATATGAGACCAATGAGCCAAAATTAATCAACCACTTTGGAGAAAAAAAAAATATAATCAAAGCAAAAATTCATCTTAGCATGATATATAGTAAAGTTCCCAGACATGGAGGATTAGTTTAAGGTTGGATTTCTATCGATCATCCTAGGTTTTGTTGATGTGATTAATATTTAATTAAACTAAGACAAGTCTAATGTACCTTGCACAGTTCATGGCTCAGACAATGGTTGAAAGATTGTAGATCAGACCAAGGACACTAAGACCAAGGCTGTAGCTGCTGTCACGACTTATGTTACATGGACTCAGGTACAAGTGTTGGGTGCGAATATGTATCTAGAGGTCAGACTTGTCAAACCATAAATTTAAGAATACACGGACTCAGCAAAAAAATATCATATTTTTATATTTTAATCAGGTATGTAAGATAAAATGATGCTATATGTAACTTACAGTGTCAAAAAGACATTCCTGGCAATTATACAACAATATGTACACATAATAACAGTGTTATTTATAATTATATAAGAAGTGCCCGTTGAAAAGTATCCAACACATATCCCATACCCTTGTCTGAGTGTCGGGTGTCCGACACGGGTATTTGATTTATTTTGAAGAGTCCGTGTAACATAGGCCATGACATTAGCAACATAAGCAACTGCAGAAGCAATGCTAAGGCTACAGCCTGCAACTCTATATTTTTGTTAGTTAGATATTTGTTAGATAGAAATGTAACAAACTCGGTTAGTTAGATAGATATTTTTGTTAGATTAGTATATATAGATAAACTGATGTAGGATCTGGTTATGATTTTCATTCAGTGAGAATAATATCTTTTTCCATCCGTCTTCTCTCTCCCTTCATAACATGTATTACTATAATGATTATATTTTGTATCATGTTTTGCTTAACATCTCATGTGTGTAAAGTACTGTATTGGTAATAAACATGAGTGTTAGAATCCATTAAACAAATACAATGTTGACAACTAAGATGGTAAACCAATTATGAGAAGAAAAGATGTTGGAATCCATTAATAAATAAATGCATTTGTGAACCTGTCTCCAGCTACAGCAAGCATTCCTTAACTTCTTTATTGTTTACAAAAGCATTCCACATCTTTACATTAGTTGCAACATCCTTGAGCAAATTCTACATACAAAGTGGGCACAATAGATGTAGAGGACATAAATTGATGAAAATAATTTTCATGACAATAACCATTTAAAACTTTAAACTCCTTGTCATGTGATTACCTAATTCAAAAGATTAGCAAATAATATTCCTTATGTTCTTTGTGTGATTTTATTAAGGGTCTTTTATCCTTTCTATTCAAACCCAAATCATACATTTTTTCAACAATGATGGGCAAGTTAGTCATATAAATGATTCAAAGGGATTCAACAATGATAACTTTGGAAAATGTTGTTGTGGGCATGATTTTAAATACTGAATGATACATACCAATACCAGCCGATACGAATTGGTTTTTTGTCCTTTAATAAAGATAGAGTCTGGTATACCCGGAAAAAAAATAAAATAAAATAATAACGCCCAAATACTACACATTAATGTGTGTACTATTTGGTATACTAGTGGGAATAAATATCGCATGCATATCGATCGATTCGTGATATGTATTGCTTCATAGCGGATTCATGACCCGATTCAGAGATGATATGTCAGGCCAGTTCACTACTATGCAGTTCTTTTCACAACGGATGATTTTTAAATTATTATAGCTGTGTCATCCATTTCCTTGGTTGTGCTATTTAAAACCTTGGTTGTGAGTGTACCTCGTATCATTTATTGCTACTCATCATTGAAAGCATAATGTCTTTTAGGACATGATTCAAGAGTTAATGTAATCCCAAGTGGGAAATGGATCTTGTCCAAATGCAAGAGACGAACAAATGTTTCAAAACACTGATTATAAGGAGAATAAGGCACTTGAATCGGTTTGGCTCTGTCCATCAATTCAAAAGCGTTTTGAATAGTCATTCCTTCAACAGATTACAGCTTTCCTAGACCATCAATGCTTGAAATCAATGGAAGTGAACCGACTTCTGATCCAGTGTCGGATTGCAAAGAACTGCACGAGGTGTCATATGAAAGATATGATTAAGATTAGATGCATTCATATCCGAACTAGGCAAGAGAACCCAAATCAACTAGTGCAGAACAAAACCACACTCCGAAACATTTATTGTACTCTCTGAATGAATGTATAGAAAGTTGTATATATATATATATATGTAAAATACGTGAACTATTGAAGAAGATAACACGTCTAAATCATGAAGCACTAGAGTACAACTAGAAGAAAGCCGAGATCATGTACTAATATCTATTCTCTCCATAACTCTTGTATTTCACTCTCTTTGGTATATTGTAATACTTTGTTTCTCTCCCTTTGCTACATTGTAACACTTTGCACTAAAAAGGTGCAATAATGCTATGATGATCGCATTTGTATACCACAAATGGGAAAGTGTTACAAGAAATAAAGAGGTTGGAGGATTGGGAACCAGAAAAATCAGGAAAATGAATTGAATGTCTTTTGATGATATGGTGGAGGAAATTTGGCACACAAAGGAATGCTCTTTGGAGAAGAATTATCTGCAGCAAATCAGGCAAGTTGAATAATTCCTGGCTTCCTTATAACACATCTTCATACAATTCATCCGGGATCAGGAAAGAAATCATTGCAATGGAAGGTTGATGCGGAAAAGATGGCGAGAAAATATATATATATATATATATATATTACAAAAGGACAGGAAAACCAAATTCATAAGCTAACATTATTATTTGGCAAGATTCTACCCTAGAATTAGCCTAATAATGATGTCTCAAACACCACCAATTTTCAGCATGTTAGTGTTGAAAATTTAGCCACCAGCCACCAATAAAGTCCAATTTTCAGCATGTTAATGTTGAAAGTTTAGCCACCAGCTACCAATAAAGTTCAAGCCTATCTATAGTTTGAAAATCTCATTAACGTGTATCTTTTACTTTGAATTTTGTATTTGTCTACTATTTTATTGAGATGCCTATAAATATGTAAGCTCATAATGTATTGAGGACAACATGAATGAAATAAGAAAGCTTTGCTATATATTTGGATGTGTGATACATCTCTTCTTGGGTGTGATTGCCCTTGAACCTAGGTGATATTGCTTAGTTTTCTTTGCTTTCTTTACATGCTTTATTTCATTACCTTGGCTGCATTTTTTTTTTTGTTTTTGTTTTTTTTATACATTAAATCTAGCCTATTGATTATGTCTCAAAACTCAGTTTTGAACTTCTTAAACCTTGCTTTAGAATACCAGACCCTAGCCACAATCTGTCCCCAAACCCCCCATATCATTTAGCCTATTTTCTCTCTTTATTTAACCATATTTTGGTGCTGAAGTTTAAAGATCCTGCATCAGTTTGGTATCAGAGCCTATGGTTTCGCCACTATGTTCTTACAAAGTAGAAGATCCTATGTGCCACAATATGGCATTCCCCATGACAAAGAAGTTTCAGATTTTTATGGGACGGAAAATCCTATGATGTTTTCACATTATGGGAGATCCTACCCAAGTAGATTGACTTGGGAAGAGGGTAAAGCGCTTCTTAGAGAAGGAATTTGACTAAGGAATCTGCAGAATGATTTTCTTGATCAATAGTGTGCACTTGAGCAAAGTGTTATCTGTGTGATCGATTATGCAAAAAAATACAAGGAACTATTTATCAAATTTGGAATGGTAGAAAGTGAACGGATGACTATTGCTTGTTTCAAAAATGGGTTGAGATCTAGAATTGAAGAAGAAATGTCTCATGTATATTTGGAAAATCTCGAAGATGCTATTGAAACTTGCATGCAATTTGAGTCTTTCGTAAAAATTATGGAGGTATGTACTGTTTTGAAGCATATGCAAAATACAAAGGCTGTCCAACAAGACCAGCGAACAAAAACTTCAAAACAAAGGGTTCAATTGCTACAAAAAGGTGCTGAAATTCACAACAAGATGTGCCAAAGCCAAATGTTGTTAGGGATCATAACCCTACACAGTTACAGTTGCAAGACAAGGAGAACAATCAAAATCTGCACGAGATGAAAGATGGCCAGATTTCAAATAATGAAACAACAGTTATTAACAATTCAGAAGAAATCTATCAATCTCCTGTAATTGTTGTTGAAGAGGCTCAAGAACAAAGCAATGAATCCAATATTTCATGTATTGCAGTAGCCATGATTGCAGAGTCGGAGAAGCAAGTTGATTTGTTTTCAAATAAGAAAAAGCTACCGATTGAGTCTAATTTATAGTCAAGAGAGTTGTTCCTGCATCCTGCAGTTATGTCTATTGTCCAAATAGAAGACTCAGAGGCCACACAAGCTATAGGGACTAAAGAATTACGGCTACCAACTGCTGATATTGATCCTAATAGGGCTTTACAGGTCAACAATTTGCTACCGAAATTCTCTACGACAGGTTCTGAAATTTTCCAAAGGGATGGTAATGTTGAATTGCATGATGAAACATTGGTTGAAAAGGAGAATGAAAGTTTGGGATCCACAATTAATGATTTGGGTGAAAATATTGATTACAAACACTGCCATGTGGAGCCAAATGGGAACATAATGCACATAAAATGAATCTTAAAGCCCCAGATTTGGATCAGTTCAAGAATGTTTCAACTCCTTCTATTGAATTTGTCATTCCATACATATTTAGTATCATGAAGGACAAGATCAATTTCTCAACATTTTTATTCCTATCTCCAACAAAGAAAAAAAGGTGGCAACTTAAGGGTTTTAACATAAAGTCGTGGATGCAATCTCAAAACTTGTGGATTCTAATACTCCAACACTTTAAAACTCGAGGATGAGTTTTTTCCAACCAAGGGATAATGATACAAAAAAGATGGCTAGAAAATATGAATATATATATATATATATATATATATTACAAAAGGAGAGGGAAACCAAATTCAAAAGCTCATATTATTAGTTGGCAAGATTCTACCCTAGAATTAGCCTAATAAAGATGTCTAAAACATAGCCAATTTTCAGCATGTTAGTGTTAAAAATTTAACCACCAGCCACCAATAAAGTCCAATTTTCAGCATGTTAATGTTGAAAGTTTAGCCACCAGCCACCAATAAAGTCCAAGCATATCTTTACCTTGAAAATCTCATTAATGTGTATCTTTTACTTTGAATTTTGTATTAGTCTTATATTGTATTGAGACGCCTATAAATATGTAAGCTCACAATGTATTGAGGACAACATTATTGAAATAAGAAAGCTTTGCTATATGTAAAGATGTGTGATACATCTCTCTTTGGGTTTGTGTGATGCAACCCTAACCCTTGGGTGTGATTGCCAAAGAACTTAGGCGTGATTGCCTAGTTTTCTTTGTTTTACCTACCATTTTTTTCTACTATATTTCTCTGCCTAAAATCCAGGTAACTTGTCCTGTCTCTAAACTCAAATTTAAGCTCCCTAAACTCTACCTTAGAATACCAAAACCTAGTCCCATTCAGTCCTAAACCTCCCATAAACATTCAGCCTACCTTCTCATTTTATGTAACCCTATTTTGGTGTTGAAAGTTTAAAGATCCTGCATCAAAGGTAGGTGCCCTACTTTGTTTAATTTCCTTGTGTCAAATATTGAGTGTTCTTTGGATAATTCAGAATGTTAGGAACAAGCTTGTCTTCAAGGATAGTGTTAGAAAGGTTAGTGCTACATGGGAAGTGATTCCATTTGCAATTTTGTGGCCAATTCAGAATGTTAGGAACAAGCTTGTCTTCAAGGATACACAACCAAATTAGAATCTCATTCCAGAGCCTGTTAAAATGAGAGTGGCATTTTGGGTCAAGGACTAAGCAAAATTTAAGTATATCACCTTCCAAACTTCACGTTGCTTCTTTAAACATTTAATCCTGAAATACTTATAATTCCTCACTTTTTAGATTTCACCATCTGTTTTTCAATTTTATACATTCTATAAAACGATATTTTTTCTACCTATCTTTAAGATGCTTCATTACAATTATTACTACATTTCTATGTCTATCTTTTCCAGTAGTACGGTAAATTTTATACACAAATTTCATTAACTTTTTCTTCTACATCATTGTTACATTCTTACAATTTAGTTTCTTGTAAACATCCTATATTCTTTTCTTCTAATCATAATATTTACTAATTTCATAGTTTTGCCTATTAGTGTTTGTATATTTGACATTGCTAATCTATACCTCCAATCCTAGACTAATTTCTTGAACCAAGCTAGTTTAGTAAAATACTAAGACCTTTGCCTTCTTGTTATTGCACTCGAGCGCTGACGCGGTGCCCCTTGTCCATTTTTTGAAACGCTTAAAGGAAGGAGCGATTCCTTACAAATAGGGCTACAAATGGATCGAGCTAAGCTTTGGAATGTTGGAGCTTGGCTTGTTGAAAATTTGTTGATCTCGAGTTCAAGCCTAACTTCAGTGGAGCTTAAAAAATCAAACTCGAGCTCAACTCATCTAATATTTGCTAAACTCAAGCTCGGCTTGAGTTAACTCGATTACTTGAAAGAGCTAAGGTGAAGCTTGAGCTTTGAAAGAAAATTAAAACTTAAATTAACATGCAAATTTAGAGAATAAGAGAAGAATATGTGCAAAATGTAAGTAATGCTTAAATTGCGATTAGTTTTATTTATCAAATATTTAAATTTGCAAAAAATCCCAACATAAATACCAAAATAAATTAAATTAATGAAAAAATATTATTAAAAATGAATATTAATTTATAAAACATTTGTGTTAATGAGCCTACACGAGGCAACCTTTGGTCTACTTGAGCTCAACTTGGTTAATAAATGAACTGAAAAATTTTGTTTGAACTCATTCATTTAGCAACCGAGCCATATTCAAAAGAGCTTTAAATGACCGAAGCTCGAGCTATTCATGAACTATTTGCTTCATTTGTAGCCCTACTTATAGGGAATGCTCTAGCACTTATTCGCATATTCATATTAAGCTTCATGCTAGTGAAGGATAAACAGGGATTTTCAAGCTACACAACCCTCTTTATCCAAACATGGGATAAAAATGAAACACTGAGCACGACACATGTGGATTAATAAGTAGAGAAAGAACATTGATGAATATTATTTTGCCCTTCATAGATAAGTTGTAAACATAAAACTACACAAATAAATAAATAAAGCCCACATAAGAATACTTCCTAACCCAATATTTTTGTACTAACTTACCTTGTAAACCCTGAGATCGCTAAGTTATTTTTCTACTAACTTACCTTGTAAACCTTGAGATGGCTGATTCGACTTCATCCCCAGATGGAACAGAAAGTGGTATGCGGGAATTGGCTGGAATCTGAAAGTCAACCTCGGAAGAAGTTGAAGCTTCCATGGCCGTTTTAAAGATACAAAACCAAATATAATTAAGTTAAAAGGATGAAAATAATTGTTTTGGCTTACCTATGAATGAGGTAGAGCCTTGTATTTATAATGAAGCAATATTACAAAATAGGAAACGAACAAAATACGAAACGAAGATTAAAAAAGCATTAAATCTATGATTGACATAATCACAGATTTTATACACACTATCATAATTATAATATTACTATTTCCTAATTCCAACACTACCATAATTATAATCAATATTTCCTAATTCCAACACTCCCCTTCAAGCTAGTGTGAAGATATTCAATAAACATAGCTTGCCGATAGACAATTGAAGTAATGTTGGGCGATTGAAGTAATGTTGGGTCTACAAACTTGGTGAACATATTTGCTAACTGCTCAGAAGAAGAGACAAAGGATGGTCTCACAATATCAATCCGAGCCTTCTCTCGAATAAAATGTATATCAACCTCTATATACTTAGTATGCTCATGCAGGATGGAATCAGAAGACAACGTAATAGCAGACTTATTGTGACAAAACAAAGGCGCAGGAGCAGTCTCCTCATATCCCAACTCTGCCAAAATAGAACGTAGCCATAGAATCTCACAAGTGCCTTTTGTCATAGCCCTATACTCAGCTTCTGCAGAAGACTTAGAAATAATTTGCTTGCTTCTTACTTTTTCATGATATAAGATGATCACCATAGAAAGTACATAAGCCAGAAGTAGAAAGCCTATCCATTCTAGATCTTGCATAGTCAGCATCAGTAAAATAGAAGAGTCCAAACTGAGGATCAATTGTGAACAACAATCCCAAGCCAGGAGAGGTCTTCAAATATCTCAAGATGTGATGAACAGCATCAAGATATTTTGTATGAGGTGCATGCATGAATTGGCTAACCACACTAACTGCAAATGTCAAGTCCGGTCTAGTAATGGTCAGATAGATGAGACGCCCAACAAGACGCCAATACATGCCTGGGTTCTCTAGCAATTCGCCAGACTCTTATGTGAGCTTGACATTGAGATCCATAGGAGTAGAAGCAGGTTTACACCCCAACATACCAGTATCCTTAAGTAAGTCAAGAGTGTACTTCCTTTGAGATAAGGAAATCCCTTGCCATGAGCGAGCCACCTCAATCCCTAGAAAATACTTGAGATTCCCCAAATCCTTAATATCAAAGGTGTCCCCCAAATCTCATTTTACTTGATCAATGCCTAAAGAGTCATCACCGATAAGAATGATATCATCCACATAAACCAACAAAACTATACATTGAGCTGCAGAATTATGACGGATGAAGCACGTATGATCCGAATGGCACTGAACAAAGCTCATGGAGATGATGACTAAGCTGAAATGACCAAACCAAGCTCGTAGAGACTGCATCAAGCCATACAAAGACTTGCACAATCGACATACTTTCCCCGAATACTCCCCCTCACCTTGAAAACTAGGAAGAGGGGCCATATAAATCGTCTCAAGAAGATCCTCATGTAGAAAGGCATTCTTGACATCAAGCTGATAAAGGGGCCAAGAATGGGATGCTGCAAGGGAGATGAGTAGACAAACAAATGTAAGCAAGGTTCTGAAAAGCGGTTGCGATTGCCGTAACGGTAGCAGTGGCGTGGTTGCGGTTACGGGGTGTAAAAGCCGTAGCATAACGGTTGTGGTAACCGAAACCGTGAATTTTTTTATTTTTCGCACAATTTGAAAAAAACTTACTGATACGCTTATTTTTTTTCATGATCATATTTATTGGGTTTAAAATAAATATTAATCAATTTTTGTAAATTTTTAAGTATGATCCAATATATTTCATATTTTTAAATCACTATAAACTGAGTTTTTTACATTTTATTTTCATAATTAATGACTTTATATTATATAAAAAATCAGTCACTAACTATTATATATAAGATAAACAATGACAAAAGTAAGAGAATAAATAAGAGTCTAAATATATATATATATACATATTTTAACAGCCAAATAGAAAATGACCACACTTATTATTATTATTAATATTTTCAAACAATATATAGATAGACACACACAAACAAAATGGTTGAGTAATAGCAGCTGAATAGAATAGCGTAGGTCTTACAGTTTCAACAAATCAATAATATGTTCTTCATCTTTCCTCTTCTCTCTATCTCTTGCTCCTCCATCTTCTCTCTTTATCTTCCCTCTTCTCTCTATCCCTTTTCTCCTATTTTCAGTTTTTTTTGTGTGTGTTTTTTTGAAAGAAACAGTTCGGTACTGTTACATAACAGTGCGTAATAGGCTGTTACGGCCGACACACCTGTGAATCTCAATCACACTGCAAAAATGGCCGTAACGGGTGGCGATAACCACCACAATCATTACGTAATGGCGTTATGTAACAGTTGCAATCGCTTTTGAAAAGCTTGGATGTAAGCTTGGCAACTGGGACAAAGGTAGCACCAAAATCCTTGCCAGGAACTTAAGTGAAGCCCTTGGCTACTAAGCGGGCCTTATAACGATTAACGAAGCCATCAGGTAGGTACTTAATAGCAAATACTTAATAGCAAAGACCCATTTGCAACCCATGGTACTCTCGCCAGAAGGTAAAGGAACCAAATCCCAAGTATGATTCAGTTCTAAAGCTGTCATTTCAGTTTGCATAGCCGCCACCCATTTTGGATTCTGAAGGGCCTCTGACACAGACCGAGGAATAGACTTGGACTCAAGCTTACCAAGGAAAGAATGATATGAGTCTGAAACCTTGTCATAGGAGAGATACTGGGAAATATGATGATCAGTACTACACAGATACCCGATGGTCGAGGGGATGTTGATCCCAAGGAGGATTACGAAGAGGAAGGGAAGGAGATGTATGTAAAGGGAAAGAATTACCTGACCCAAGATTCGAAGAGGTGGCAGGAGGGGACTGAGCATGAGGGCAGCGAGAGTATAACTGCAATAGGAGAAGGGGGGAAGGAGGCGAAGGTGGAGGATGAGAAAGGGAGCAACCTCATCCGCAATCTTGTCCAAAATGGCAATGGGGCGGACACTCGGTGTATCTGAAGGAGAAACCTGCAACAGGGGGTTAGGACTAAAAAAGGAAGATTCTCACAAAATTTAACATCTAAAATGTGGTGAAAGTGACGAGACACGGGATCAAAACATCTATATCCTTTAGACATGGAAGAATACCCCCAAAAAAATACAACGACAGACTAGTCATATAACTTAGTGCAAGTGAGACACCAGTCCTGAACAAAACATGTACACCCAAAAACACGAGGTAAAAAAGTAAAAAGGGTAGTATTAGGCATAAGAATATGGAATACGGCAAGGCCATGTAACACACAACTAGGAGTTCTATTAATGAGATAGACAGCAGTAAGAATAGCTATGTGCCAATGAGACTTGGGCACACACATACCATGAAGAAGACAACGTACGACAGACATGATATGACGGTTTTTACGTTCAGCCACACCATTTTGTTTAGGGGTCCGAGGACATGTAAGTTGTTGAAGAATAACCATTCGATTAAGGTGGAAATGAAACTCGTTGGACATGTATTCCCCACCATTATCAGAGCGGATGCTCCTAACAACTATATGAAATTGTGTCTTAACCATTTGCAAAAACTGAACAAAAATGGGAAACACATCAGACTTGTGGTGAAGTAAATAGACCTAAGTGCACCTAGTATCATCATCAATAAAAGTCGCATAATAATGATGACCCAAAAAAACAGGAACGGGAGAGAAACCCCAAACATCAAAATGCATAAGATCAAAATCACTAGGGGCCCATGTCATGTGGTATATAACTAGTACAGATATGTTTAGACAATTCACAAGTAACACAATGAAATTTAGAGTCCTTACAAGCTTTATTTAATAAAGGGAAAAGTTGACATAAATATTGAAAGTTAACATGACCCATACGGGTGTGCCATAACTCTAAAGTTTGAACAGAAAAAACACAAGATATAGAAGGAGGCAAAACAGACGCCTGAAAACTGGCTAACGTCAAAGAAGGCTAGTCCGATGGATCCCCAAAGTAGTATAGCCCGTCGCACTCATATCTCCTACCAAAAATTCTTTTCGAATTCAGGACTTGTAAAAGACACAAAGAAGGTAAGAAGATGACATCGCAGTTAAAGGTTTTGGCAAAACGACTAACAGATAAAAGATTATAAGCAAACTTGGGAACATGCAACACAGAACATAAAGTGATATCAGGGGATAAAGACATAACACCCTTATGTTGGACAAAAGAGCAAGAACCATCAGCAAGACACAGATTGGGCAACAGTGGTGGGTTCAGAAAAAAAAAGAAAAGAAAACTCACCAATCATATGATCATTAGCCCCAAAATCCAAAATCTATGAAGGACTAGCAGACCAAACATGGAAAGCAGTAGAAGTACCTGTAACAAAGGTGGCAGTAGAGGATGATGGACCAAGAGAACCAATGGTGAGGGACCCAAGTTAAGCCTAAAGCTGACCAATCTGAGTCTGTAACTGCTGTAGATTAGGGACATTAGGAGGCTCAGAAGCAGAAGTAACTTCCACAAACGCAGTAGTGCGAGTAGAGCAAAAACCACATAGAGCAAGACCACGAGGACGGGAAGGGCGTTGCCTCAACTCAAGATAAAGTTTGAAGCAACGGGCTTTGACATATCTAGGAGCATCACAATGATGACAAGTAACAGAACCGGTGGAACTTTGACAACCAGAACTCACAGCAAGAGCCATCTGATCTGCTAAAACTGGAGGGACTGAAGGAACATTAGGCTGAACCAATTGCCGGCGATGCTCATCACTGTCAATAATGGCAAAAGCCTCATAAAGAGATGGCATGGGTGATGTGTTTAGAATTTGAATTCGAAATTTAGAGTTTTAAACCCATGAGAAATTGATAAGTGTGCTGTCGGGCAAACCTCTTGGACAAAAGGGAGGCAGCTTCTGGTGGAAGGTCAGTTAAAGGCTCATATTGAGCAAGTTCCTTCCAACGAGCCTGAAGATATCCAAAGAATTCAGCTACAAAAAGGCCAAGAGAGGACTGAGAGGCCCAGGCTATCTTAGTAAAGCTCGAAGATACGCGCATCATTGTGAGCATGAGCGTACATCTATGACAATGCCTGCCACAAACTCAAAACTATATTGCAATAAAGGAACATATGATAAATTCGATCTTCCATGGAATTGAACATCCATCCCAATATAGTGCAGTTATCGATATCCCACTGAGTATGTATAGGGTCTGTCGCAATTGGCGGGGTAATTGTAGATAAAAGCCAATGAGCCATTCCCTTACCCTAAGATAGAGTTTAAGGGAACGGCTCCAGGCAGCAAAATTTTTCCCATTCAACACAATGAATAAGAGTGTGATAGAAAGGAGAAAAATCAGTACTTGGAATAGGCACATGTTTGGTGGAGACCGCAATAGAAACTTCAATACGAATGGTATAAGATGAGTTATCCATGGGGAGATGATGAGGGATGAAATAGATAACAATACAGCAACACAATCCGAGTAACAACCAGAAAAGCCAAAAAAAACTCAACGGCTAAATGCTACCGAATAAACCTGGGTAGCCCACAAAAAGAAAAGGCAAAAAAAGGTCCAAAAAAGTGCTTAAAGTATCAGCACAATAACCTAGAAAAGAGAGAAAAAAGGTTCAGACCACCCTAAAGAGGATATCGAAGTACTCTAGGCCAGGATGAGACCTGGTCGGCAGCAGCAAGGCCTCTAATAGGTTTAATACAGTCCTGCTGAGGGGTATAGGAGGGTGGGTAAGTGGTTTCGGGTGTCTAAGAGTAGTGGGTTAGGCTGTCGAGAGGTCTAGAGGAGAGAAGAGGTCTATCGGTTGCTGGAGGAAGAAGAAAGAAGATGTAACGCCCTCAAAATAAACTCAATATAAATATATCATTAGCATGCAATTTTAAAAGCAACCAATTCATTATAACGTTCATCAGAGTCTTACAAAATAAAAGCATTACATGTAATGTCAAAATAAATGCCCTACAGGCTTACATCTTTCCAAGCCAACACTTGGCAACACATCCACGGAACCGAGTCTGAAATACAATTAAACAATGAAGGGAAAATCGGGATCGCTATAGAAGATGAAGAAACTGTTGGGCAATGAAGAACAAGAGCTAACAGGAAAGAGGGGGTGGTATAGGGTTTCTGTGCTTTGGCTCTGATCAAGGTTATTAAAGGCTGGCCTAGGGGTGCGCCGAAGGCCCAAGTCCCATCCAGACCCAAGGTTTGCACCTTGTAGTGTTCCAGGCTAGGCAACTTCAATAAGGCACGCCTAGGCAACTTCAAGTCCTATCGTATTATGACTGTGATAAGACGCCTGACTGGCCCAAGACTTGCATCTTGAGGGCTTTTTTTATTGATGCTTTAATTGGTTTTGTTTAAAATCTGACCATTGATTTAATATGGTACAGCTACAAAAGATCCCTACTTTTATTACAGATGCCAATATATTGGGCATTCAATCCCAAATCAATGATAGAAGAAAAATTAGCCCTAATTTCTATCTCCAAAAAACACTAAATATTTAGGTGCCGTTTGGTAACACTTACTTTTTCAGTTTATATTTACAAAAATTTTAAAAACTCAAATAAAAACTTGTTTGGTAAATTTTTTATTTATAAATCAGTGATCTCAATTTATAAATTTGGCCAAAAAATATAAACTCAAAAAATGTGTTTCTGTTTTGAGTTTTGAGTTTTTTTTTTTTTACCACCCAAAACTAGCCACCACCCGTCACCATTTTCCACTATCGTCTTCCGCCACCACCACCCACCCGTCCACGTCACCTGCCACCACCACTCGCCACCACCAGCCACCACTCGCCACCACCAGCCACCCACTTGCCACCCACTCGCCACCACCACCCACCCCTCGCCACCACCACTACTACCACCACCACCCACCTGTCATCCACCCGTCACCACCCACCACCTGCCACTATCATTCACCACCGCCACTTACCTGCCACCACCACTCACCACCCATCTGCCACTACCATTCACTACCTGCCACTACCAGCCACCCACCACCACCATACATGATGTCGCAAGAGCTGCCTTGATCAATCTGGATGCGTTTCACTTGGCACTCCCCAACCTGGAGGGATATGACCGCCACCTCTTGGTTGCAATCAGGTATTCGATTGAAAACCTCGTAGTACCTTTTTGCGTAGGCCCTAAGGCCTTCATGTCACCACTTTCCACCACCGTCTTCCGCCACCACCACCCACCCACCCGCCACTTGCCACCACTTTCCACCACCGTCTTCTGCCACCATCACCCACCACCTGCCACCATTTTTCACCACCGTCTTCCGCCACCACCACTCGTTACCACCCGCCACCACTTGCCATTTCTCACTCTTTTTTATATTTTAAATTTTTTTTAAACATTTTGTCTAAACCAAACGCGTTTGTAGTTTATGTTTTTCTAAAAATAAACAAAAACCAGTTTATAAAATTTTTGTAAATATAAACTGAAAACGTAAACGTTACCAAATGGGCCCTTAACATTTCATTTCATTTTATAAGGTGCGCCTCACTTCGGTGAAGCCTGCGCCTCACTTGTACCTTGAGCCTAGGCACTAGGAGACATTGGCACCTTGGTGCGCCTATCGCCTTTAATAACACTGGCTCTGATACCAAAAAGGATGAAAAGAATTGCTTTGGCTTATCTATAAATGAGGTAGAGCCTTGTATTTATAATGAAACAATATTACAAAATAGGAAACGAACAAAATAGGAAACGAAGAAAAAAAAAAATAAAAAATAAAAAAGACATTAAATCTGTGATTACACTACTATAATTATAATATCACTATTTCCTAGTTCTAACAAAGTTCACCATGCAATATATTGTAGCAAGATCCTAATATACATAACAACTACACATTCTAGAAGTTTGGCTGGATAGGCATTGCCTTGGTAAAGTTATGCAAAGTTGGCAATATGGTCTCCTAAAATTTGATTAAAAAATGGAGTACCAAATTAGTTTAAGTTCAAAAATAAAAATATTTTATTAAAAAAATTCATAATAGAACAGCTTCATATATACTAAGAAATAGATAAGCTTGGCTTGAGTGGCATTTGGATTTGGGTTATCCAGGATTCATTATGCATATTAAGCCATTCGTATTAATTCCATTCAACTGGGTTTAAGATTGTTCGACGGCTAAGTGAATGCCTTGCAAATAGCATCTTTGTACCTTCCAAGAAACTTCCCTAATAGAAATGTTTGTTGCTAGAGACGTCATTTGGTGGTCCTTCACATTGAGGAGCTTCTACACACCATCATTCTTCTCAGTTCACACCATTTTTTTTTAATTAAAATTTTTCCCCACAAAAAAATTACCATTAATGACAAAAGAAACACACCTTCCCTCCCAACCCCACCATCGCCAACCGCCACCCCTTGCCACTACAAAACCCTAGCTGCCGTCCCACACAATTTGTGGGAGCAATGGAGAGTAACAAGGGAGGAGGTGAGAGGGTTAGGTTAGGTTAGGGTTTGAAGGTTGAAGATGAGTATATTATGGGGATTAAGTGGCGTGAACTGAGCAAAAAATAAAAACCAAAATTGTGTGTGAATTGAACAATGATGTCAACTAACAAAAAACATGATGTGGAAATAGGAGCTCCCTTGGCATTGTGCCAACACCCTAAAAGGCGCAATCACGTTAAACTTTATGTGATTATGAAACTCTTGAGCAGAGGTGTGCACGGTTGATTTTGGGGAAAAAAATCAACCGAGTTGAGAATTTTTTAATCTGCTGCCAACCAAACCACCTCCAAAACCAGCAAGTTGCTCGAATATTTTGGTGATTTCAAACCAATGGTTTGAACAAGTTGGACCGATTATAAATACAAAATGAAAAATAATATTAGTGAGCATATAAACTTCATTTATCGTTTTTTTTTTCTTTGTTGAAGTTCAACCTAAAAAATTTATTTTTGAATTTCAACCAAAAAATTTATTGTTTGTTTTGAATCCCAACACAAAACCAACAAACTAATCAATGCATGATGATATTCATGATTATACTTTACAAATTAATATACAAAAGAGTCAAATTAAGGGAAAAATATGCGATAAAAATGAGGGGTGAGTATTATTTGATTAATGGTATATAAGGTTAGTGTGAGATTGTTTGTGAGCAAGTGTAGAAAGTAATTTTTGCATATACATATAGGTGGGTTGGGTTGGTTTGTAGACAAGTTTGACAAAAGACTATATCTCAAATGCCATGTCATGTATTGATCCATGTCTTCAGCCTTTAAGGCATAGCTTGCCTTTAATAGCATTGTGAGAGTAGCCACTTTATTGGTGGCCATATTTATTCGAGCAATTTTCTTATTATTTTTCTTGTCAAGTATAGTGCATTCACCTTCATCAAATTTCACCAAATATCCTTTTTTTGTATCAATTGGCCCAGCCTTAATAGATTTTGTGTTAAACTATGAACATAAAAAACGTCATGGATTAGCTTGGTGTTACCTCCCTTTGTTTGCACAGCAATGGTGCCCTTTCCTTCAATGTTCTGAACCTTCACATCTCCAAACTTCACTTTGGATTTCACTCCTTCATCCAAGCTAACAAAGCTGCCATTGTTTCCCGTCATATGGTTGCTGCATCTGCTGTCAATATACCTCGTGTCTTGTGCTTTTTGTTGAGTGTTCATGTAAGGATAGAACTGTTGGTTTGAAGATTCACGCTTTTCTGAAAAGTTAGCTTCATCGTTTATACGAAACCAACAATCTTTTTCAAGATGGTTAGGATTCTTGCATCTTGTGCAATTTTGGAAATGGCAGTCCATGCTTCCATGATTAGTATTCTTGCAAAATTTGCAGCGAGATTCAGATTGTGATATACCTCTTGCAGTCCGTTGAGTATGCCTTTTTCCTCCTCTACCGTGGCCACGATTAGATTGGCCCCTTTGAAATTGATTGCCTTGATTTTGTTTCTTGTTTCCTCCATCCTTATTCTTTGACATATTCATCTTTGTTTGAAAAGATTGCTCCAATAACTGATTCTCCGATCCTTGAAACTCATTCTTCAAAATCTCCCATGCTTCTTTAGATTTTGTTGCAGCCATTATCCTTGGAGCAATTGACATCTTTCATCGTACGTTCTTTCAACTTCTCCTTCCTTGCCTCTGACCACACTGAATATTCTTCTTGGCGTTGAGGGCTTTCGTAACTATTTTCAACCAAATCCCACAGATCTTTTGAGATGAAGAAGGTTCTCATTTGAATGCTCCAAAAATCGTAATTTTCTCCTTCAAAAATCGGTAGTGCGGCTGGTGAATATTTGAAGGTTGTAATGCTGGAACTTGCTGCCATTCTTTGAACTTAAACCTTAGCTGTTTTGTTTTGTAGGACCTTCGTTGCTCTGATACCACCGTTATGTTGCTGCACAGTGTGATGGTGCAGTAAGAATTCAGGACAGTTAGGGAAGAGAGGTTTTGTGCATAAATTTGTTACAAAAAATTATGGGTACGAATGAGTTTTTATTTGTGACAAAGAAGATGAAAAATATAATACTTTTTGCACTCATCCTCTTTTTTCTTTTATTGACGTAATAGCGTTCTGCTTCATTAATAAAGTTCTTTTCCATTGCTGATATTGCTGATAAAAAAAAAAAGATGAAAAATATGTACTCACTTCAAGTTATTTTCCTCTGTTGGGCTTGCACAGCTTAATAAATTAGATGCCTATCATTCTAGACTGCACCTAATGCTCCAAAAATTTCAATTTAGATCATAGTTATCAAAATTGCAATCCAGATCGGTGTTATAGTAGGATCACATTTTTCACTTTATTTTTAATATGTATCATCCCTATTTGCATTTTTACCTTATTTTTAATAAGAAGTACAACTTACGATCTTCAATCCGACCCTAAGATCCGATTCACGAGACTCTCTCACTGATCCTACGTAAGATCTTGGTTTTAACAACCATCTAACACAAGATTGTCGAAATTGGGATCCTATGTGGGATCTTTCGGAAGGAGTCATGGATCGAACCGTAAAATTAGATTGAGAATCATAAGACTCTAATTTCAATGCAAAATGAAATAAAAATTTATCTATAATGATAATGTATGTAAAATAATTTCAAAATCGTTAAAGAAAAATGATAATTTGATATAAGGCTATGCTAAGATTTATTAGAGGAGATGCTTCAAGAGGGATTTATGGTCAAATTTTTTATATAGATATACATATATAAGAAATAAATAACAAGAAAATAAAATAAAATACTGGTGGGTATGGGATTGTAGTAGAATCAGGATCGTGGTATGATTCTAAAATTTAAGATCCTAATGTGATCAGAATTGTTTGGCCCAACTGGGGTTATACAATTGTAAGATCATATGATATGCATCGTGATTATGATAACCATACTCTAACATGCCATTCAAGATAAATTAATTTCAAGTGCTCCATTTTTCATAGACTTTCAAAATAAAACACCCTAGGCATGTCATCTTACAAGTAGTAGCATCAAACATCCCATTTTCATTATTTTTGAAATTACCTAATATTGAAAATAAAGTACATACATGGAACATCATAAAATTCCTCATCCAAGAATTCTCTTACACAATAACAAAATGCTATTAAAATTAAGAACACCCTAAACATGTTTACAAATATATTTTAAAAAAATAGAAAATCCTACACTTCACTACTTTTTACCACAAAACTAAAGAGATGAGATGAAAGGAATGAGTTTTATCCCCCCCCAAAAAAAAAAAAAAACAAATTGACAAGTCTTCCAAGTGAACTAGACTTCAAGATGGCTTCTTGTTCTTCAAATGGTGAGTTTTAGATCCAAGAAGCACCAAGAGGGGCATTGGGATCTCAAGTGTAGAAGTGTAAAGAGAGTGTATATAAGCTTAGGGAGACCAACAATGGAGGAAGGGGAAAGAGGGCTAGCTAGGGTTTTTGGAGGAGGGGGAAAGGCCAAGGATGTTCAGCCATGTGAGAGAGGAGAGCCTAACTCTTTCAAGTCTTTCAACTCAAGAAGACAATGCTAGCTCACCAGAGTAAGGACACTCTTTGCCTGAAAAAAATAAAAATAAATAAATAAAAACAAGAGAGACAGCTTTTGGTTTAAAAAAACAAAAAGGCAAAGACTTTAAAAAGTCTAGTCTTCAAGTGTGTGGGGATATATTTTCTGAGTCCCAACACGTGGCCAAGGTGACACCGACGTGTCAGCCGAGGTGCCACGTGTGCAGGTTATGACGCCGAGGTTATCTCGGTTAGGCCGAGGTTATCTCCGAAGATATCGGAATTCGGGATAAGCGAATAAGGGACAAGAGTCCTAGAATGGGAGAAGACTTCAGTTTGGGTAAAGATAAGACTCTTAGAGAGTTTATCCTAATCCTACTGAGAGTCCAAGATTAGCAGTAATCCTAAGTTCATAGGAGTTAGGCTTCTGTTGGGACAAGGATTGAGCTAACTATAAAAAAAAGGCACCCCCGATGGGTCTAAGGTACGCAATTTTGTATTCTGAATAGTGAGTTCAGCACTATTGATTATCTTTGAGAGATATACTAACTTGATTGTCGGAGCGTCCCCGGGTGGATGAACCACCGCCGGAATCTTCTCTTTTCTGTTGCAGGTCAGCCAGGTGTCATCTATTCTGCTAATGCTCTCCAGCTGAATATTGAGTTGGCAGTGTGGTCGAAAAATCACTCACACAATTTGGCGTCGTCTGTGGGAAAAAAAGAAGAATAGATGGCCAGTGACAGACAGAAGGAAAAGATTGGGGACGACACTCTTGCTGGGAGTGGCAAACCCATCGACTTTGACGTCGAAGGAGACAACTGCAACATAGAAACTCGTGACCAGAATCACAGCAAGAAAGACGTCGGCCGAGATGGCGACATACCAAAGAAACCAGATCGAAGTGGGTACTACAATGAGAATGACCTCCAGGTATGGAAGGATAGATGCCTACGAAGGGACGAAGAGGTAAAAGAGATGGCAAACAAATTGGCAGACCTGCAATCAGTCGTCAATTTCATGATGCAAAACAATGTCATGTAGCCACCATACCCACTGCAGGACACGCTGGTCCCAGCGGCCAATGCCCAGAAGGGAGGACAGAAAACAATCCCAATGGCCTCCCCAGCACACCAGAAGCGAAAAACACTCTCACCGGCCTTCCAGTGAGGTCGGGCGAGGAGAATCAAGGAGAGAAAAATCACGGAGAACGTGTCACACAAAGGAGGTAGACCCCAAAGAACATCGGCATGTTCAGGGGCAGGCGCTGTGCTTCGACACAACTAATGGAGAAAGGTCGAAGAGGACTCACCACGAAGCTGGAAGTAGTGCACCAAAAAGATTGAGATCAGGAGATAGTCGAGCTCCTGGGCGGACAAAGGAGGACTTAAGAGACTACCTCAAGAGGAAGCAACAAAAGCCCGATGCCGAGGTAAACTCCCCTGATAAACCGAGAACACCATTTTCAGTGGAGTTGGACAAATTTGAGGCACCAAAGAGATTCAATATGCCAATGTTCCAAATATACGATGGTAAGTCAGACCCTAACTTCCACGTTGGATTATATTTGAACTCAATGGCATTATATAGTGGGAACGAGCTGTTGCTCTGCAAAGTGTTCCCCTTATCTTTTGGGAAGATTGCATCAGATTGGTTCCACAAACTACCGAAGGGAAGTGTGAAGACTTGGGAAGGCCTGGCCGAGATGTTTGTGGCCAGGTTCATGACAAACAAGCTGCAGCCATTGAGGGTGGACGCATTGATGGATCTAAAGATCAGTAAGGATGAAGGCCTTAGGGCCTATGTAAAAAGATACTATGAGGTGTTCAACCGAATACCAGAGTGTAATCAAGAGGTGGCGGTTGTATCTTTTAAGAACGGCCTAAAAGATAACTGTCCCCTACAAAAATCTTTGGCAAAGACATTGCCAAAAAGTATGGAAGAGCTCATGGCGAGAATCGAGAAGTATGCCAGAGCCGAGGAAGACACGTCGGGGACTAAGGAGACAAAGCAAGAGTAGGGAAACGGCTCGCCGAAGCAAGGCCGAGGTAACAACGGATCAAGCAAGCAAGAGATAGAACTGAGGGCAACACAGACAGTGGCAACTGTGTTCCGAATCCCAATTCATAAAGTCCTTGATCAAATTCGGAATCAACCCTATTTCAGAACACCAGCAAAGACACCAGGAGAATTCATGGAAAGAAACCTTGGCAGGCATTGTGCTTACCACAATGAAAATGGGCATATGACCCAGGGCTGCAGAGCCCTGAAAACACACTTGGAAGACTTGGTGAGGCAAGGCCATCTGCAAGACCTTGTCGATGAGGCCAGAACAAGGGAAGAACAGGCAAGACTGCCTCAGGCACTAGCAGCTCCGCCTCCCCCAGCACAGCAACCTCAAGCAGGAGGACCTCGGGTAATTAATGTAATTCACTCGAAGGTTAATGAGAATGAAATTAGGGGGGAGACCCAGAAGGTGAAGCACTTGCAGCATGTCTACCAAGTCGGAAAAAAGAGACATCGGGCGCAGGAGTGCCAAGGACCAATAGTGTCCTTTTCTGAAGCCGACCTTGAGATGGTACAGCATCCGCATAATGATGCCTTGGTAGTATCCCTCCAGGTTGGGGAATGCCAAATAAAGCGCATCCTGATCAACCAAGGCAGCTCTTGTGACATCATGTACGTCCGATGTTACAAGGAGCTCGGTCTTCACCCAGACGATATGGAGCAATCCAATAGCCCAATGGTCGGGTTCAATGGAACGCCGACATGGCCACTGGGAATAACCAGCTTGGAGGTGTAGACCGGCACCAGGAAGATAACAACAGAATTCACCATAATCGACATGGTTGCATGCAATGGGGGCTATTTCATCAACATTGCATCAACTATTACGATTCCCAACAGAGCATGGGATTGAGAAGGTCAGAGGAGATAAGCTGCAGGCAAAGAATTGCTCCATGGTAGCAATGAAATCCACCTGCAGCATAAGAGAACCAGAAAAGGCAGAGATCGAAGATGAAGACGTGGAGGTCTTAGAGGATATCGACAAGGAGCCAGCCGAGAAAAGTGAAGAAGAACTGAAGAAAATCCTCG